CCCCCCTCAGGCCGGAGCGCGGAGCCGGGGAGGGGGACGGCGGACGAGGGGTCCGCCCGCCGCTGAGGTGGAGCGGAGCGGGGCGGCCCCGTCAGCCCCGGCCGGCAGCCCTGGGTACCGGGGGAGCGGAGCGGAGGCGGCTCCGGGAGCCGTGGGCGGCGTTCTATGGTTCTATGGCTGATGGCGGCGTCGCAGCTGCGGCCGGGTCGGTGCGGTCAGCCTCCGCCCGGACAGCGCTTCGGGTTCAGCCGGGAGAAGTAACGTCCCAAGGGAAAAGCAACCCCAACTTTATTTGTAAGGCGAGAGCCGTGACGGTTTCCGTCGTCGTTTACGTGCACGCGCTCTCTCAGCTGGCGGCGGCTGCACATCATGTTCGGAGTGTGAGACTGCATTAGGAAAACACTTCGAAAAAAGCCTGTGCCGCTGTGTAAAGTTGCGGGAGGCATCAACGTTTCTCTTTCGAAAGAGTGGTTAGGCTCAAGACGGTATATGAAGGCAATCGGAAGTACAAAAGAGCTTCACTAGGAAGAGAGCTTGAACAATGCCCACACGCAGCAGAACACGAGTCAAGGGGGCACAGCGGAGGCTTGTAAAACAAGTGCTGCGTGAGGAGAAATGGAGAACAATTAATTACCATCTCCATCTCCCACACAAGGCACAGCAAGGCACAATCGTGACAGACTAGGTTTAAAATCTACACGTCCATTCAGTTCTGGGACACGCTGCCAAGGACGTTGCTTTGTGACAAAAGCGTGAAGTCCAAAGTGAGTCGTTACCTCCAAGTTGCCCACAGGACAATGCACCACCCTCCTTCTTATCATCTCATATTGATTTCATGGTTTCCTGGTCTCTTTATCACTCTTTGTGCAAGAAAGATAGTTATTTTTGCACATTTAAGTTTACCACCTCTTCATTTCCCACCTCCAGCCCAGCTGCGTCACCCAGTCATTACGCTCATCTCCTCTCCAAACAAGATTCTGGGTCCCAGCTATTTTCTACCTTGCACACAGGTTTCCAGCTCCACACCAGTTCTTAGAGTGGACATTCTTTGTTCATTCCTCACTGTTTGAATGTGACATCTCATCACACGTGCACTTGTGCAATGCTGGGCAGAGCCCAGCAACCTGGGAACAGCCTCGGACACCAACCAACCCAAGGCAGTACACAGGCTCCTTCCATATAATCTGCTTTCCTCATACTGCAAAAAGTCAGAAATATTTCTGCAACAAATAGAAAAGTGACTAATAAATGAGTGATGTTAAGGAGTGACGCACTGGTGCTTGTGAAAAGCAGAAGGTGGTGAGAGTTATCCAAGCAACTGCAGGGCCTTTCAGCTTCACTGTTAGTAACAGGCAATGGTTGTGAAATTCTGAAGGAAGGAATTTTTAAGCATTTGGGTTTATTAATATCTCATTTGCCTCCACTGCAGTGTAGTCTATAATAGAGAAATCATACCACATTAACCTATGACTTAACACAATTTTTTTTTTTCTGGGCAAAAGTGCTAACTCGTGTAATGCATCATTTGTAGTAGCCCACCTGAAATCACAAACGTAGCTAGGAAAAAAATGGGGGTGACTACAGAAACTGTAAGATAGATGATGAAATCAGCCATCAGGAAATAAAAGATGAGATTTAAATTTTAAGAGCAGCTCCAAGCATTTGTACCAAAATGTAGGAATGTCCCAGCTATGTTTCCCAGGAAATGGAAGGGCAGCACAACAAAGCAAAAACTGTGCTGTTTTGAAGATGGTTTCATTAATAGGTCTGCCTAAATTTCAGCACAAGTGCAAGGTTATGTCAGAGACAAAGAACAAGAATTTCAGTTATGCATAATGCTCATGGGTTAGACATGATGTAGGAGAAACAGAAACAATTCACCCCAAATAGAAAACAAGCCAAAAAGGGTGCCTGCGAGGGAGCCAAAACTACGAGGAGTATTTGGATGTATCCAATTAATATAGTAGACTGGTGAGCAACTGATCACATAGGTACTTGTAGACATCCAAAATGCCTAGGTTCTGGTCACTTACAGTTCAAGAAAAAAAATGAGCTTACTGTGCTGGTTTTGGCTGGGATAGAGTTAGTTTTCTTCACAGCAGCTAGTACGGGGCTCTGTTTTGGATTTGTGCTGAGAACAGTGTTGATAACGCTGAGATGTTTTCCTTGCTGCTGAGCAGTGCTTGCACAGTCAAGGGCTGTTCTGCCTCCCAGCGAGGAGGCTGCGGGGGCACAGGGAGCTGGGAGGGGACACAGCTGGGACAGCTGACCCCAACTGACCCAAGGGATATTCCAGACCATATGATGTCACTCAGTATGTAAAGCTAGGGGAAGAAGGAAGGGGGGGACGTTCAGAGTGATGGCATTTGTCTTCCCAAGTCACCGTTACACATGATGGAGCCCTGCTTTCCTGGAGATGGCTGAACACCTGCCTGCTGATGGGAAGTGGGGAATGAATTCCTGGTTTTGCTTTGCTTGCATGCGCGGCTTTTGCTTTACCTATTAAACTGTCTTTATCTCAGCCCTCAAGTTTTCTCACTTTCACCCTTCCGATTCTCTCCCCCATCCCACTGTGAGGGAGGTGAGCGAGCTGCTCCGTGGGGCTTAGTTGCCAGCTGGGGTTAAACCATGACACTTACAAATTGTGTCCCTGTTCAGACTAGCTACTAGAACCACCTGAATAACTCAAAACTTAAGGAGATTTTATAAATTTGATTCATCTAGCCTACTAAAGCACTAATAATAGCAAGAAATCATATTCTATGAAAGTACATGAATAAGGCTAAAAACAAAAAAAGACCCATTGAAGCTAAATGAAGATGTTAATACAAGAGCAGGTATGAAACTGGTTGCTAATGTTAGGTTTCCAACTTCAGCAAGTTGGAAAAATCTATCTGTAAATCTCAACATTTACAATCGTGATCTCTGCACATCTTCTCAGTGCTAACTTCATTTTGATACTATTCTCAAGGGCTCTGTAAGTGGGAAGAAAATGGTTTTACTAAAGAGTTCAAATCTTCAAGGTAGAACAAAAATTCTGTAATGCCTTTAAGCAATGGAAACCCTTTAACAGCAGCTACCCCAACAGGATAGTGTTTATAAGTCCATAGTTACAGAAGCTCTGAAGGCGCCTAATACTGCTCATCTTGCAAACCACTGGGAGATGCCACTGAACCTGACTGATTCTCAAGAAATCAGGGATTTGATGTGCTTTTCTCTGGAACCCTGTCTTCCCTAATTGGTAAAGAAGGAAACTGTACTTACTTTCTGTTCAAGTTTCTCTTGCTCCATCCAGCTGTCAGAGGTGCAGCAGTAAGCCAGCTCTGCCTCCCACATGCTGAACTGCTGTCAGGTTTTTATCACCCCACCACAGGCAGGATCTGATGCTGAATCAGTGCTAACACTGACTTGCAAACCAAACTGAGGATAAAGTTTATCAAAGATTACTGGAAAAGCCCCACCACAGCCTTGTTCCCATCTCTGCATGGTGCTGTTTTAATTTGTGGGACTATTTTTCTGAAACAACCAGTTTTCTGTGACCAGACTTCATTATACTTGAATGCTTAGCTGCTGCAGAGCAGACACTGTGTACAAGAATACCATTCCTCTGTCCTGCAGTGCTTGAAAATTCAAGCCACTCAGTTTTCTGTTTTCACTGGAAAACTGAACCCTATTCACCATGCAGTTCCATTAAACGACAGGTTCATCGGGAAGCTTGGACCTAGAACATGTCCTGAAAAATAGCCAAACAGCTCCTTCTGTTGCATGCTGCTGCCCTGGATCAGCTGGTTTTGCCAGTCCTCTCTTCCTTCGGCCTCAGAACCCCCCTAGAATGTCGCTCGATCTGTCACTCATGGAGGCACCGAGAAAAGCTTCAGCGCAAACTTCACTGAAACAGGCCCAAAGGAAAAAACTCTTTTCCAGAAGCCCCAAGTACTTAAGCTTCCTGGCCAGCTGGAGGACGGTCAAAGACAGTGGGAGAAGCAGAGCTGTGTACAAAGGGCTCTGACCACAGCCACTCTTGGCTACTTCAGCAGAACTTGCATGGATTCTAGGATGAGAAATTCACCAAGTCCAGTACTGCATTGATGCCCCAGAACAAGTATTTAGCTAGTGGTGCATGAATTGACACAGCCTCTAATTTAGGAAAACCCTTACCTCTAAGTTGTTGGCGTCTGAAGCGTATTTATTCCATGCTTGCCCTGTTCTACCCTTTTGTGTAGGAACCTGCCCAGGCCACTGCCTCGGGCAGGATGGGCCCTTTGTCTGGAACAGTAGAGCTGTCACTGTGTGCAAGTCCACTTGGTTTATTCTGTAGAAAGCAAGGACTGGGCGTTGAAAGAACAGACGAAAACCTCAGGTGATACAGTCCCATTTATGGAAAACTAGCCACTTGCCAAGGCAGTTTTATGAGCAGTGGGGAAAAGACTGCTAAGGTGAAAGAAGCTGGGTCAAAGAGAATAGGAAGACCCACAGCTTCAAGGCTTAAGCTCTTCTGCACCAGTCCCCAGGCATTACAGGTTAGATGCAAGAGGAAATAAGGGTATCCCCAGTGCAAAATGTACATGCGAGAGAGATCTTTGCCAGCAGCAGCTGCACCAGGTCTTTGCAGGAAAGAAGTATCATCGCCGAGAGGCCTAATGTCAATGGAAACACAAGGGAT